AGGATGGCGCTCAGGGTAAGATGACAGAGGGGCCTGCCTTTCCCTGTGCCCCTGAGACTGGCCCCAGTTTCTTTCGTGTTTTCTGCTTGGAGAAGCGGTTGGTTGGTGAGCGCGTCGTCCCCAGGGTGGTGGTTCTCAGTCGTGCGATGCTGCCCCTGGGAGACTTTGGCCAGTGACTGGCAGTGTCGGGGTGCCGCTGCGTTCGTGCTGCAGCCCAGGGATGCTGCTCAGCATCCTGCACTGCCGGTGGTGCCGGGGTGAGGAGCGCTGGTCTAGGGACGCGCCCAGGGCATTTTGTGGTTTCAGGATTGTTCTGTCCCTCGGGTACCCGTCTGTTCCAGAAGAATATTTCACTCAGGAGTTTGCTTAAAAGAGGGTGTCAGGTTGTCACTTTCTAAAGAAAAAGGTAACACCCATGAGCCTCGGCCTCTGCTCCCTCCATGGACAGGGTCACAGTCAGCCCAGGAGACACTGTGGTCATGAGTAAGATCCTGAGGGCGATTCCCCCCATGGCAGTGGGTGACTGGTGAGCGCGGAGTCAGCAGGGGAGGCGCCTGCTGCGTGGCGGGTATTGGCCTGACTCAGGCGGGGCTGCTGCCCCATAAGGGGACGTTCTCCATCCTCGAGCCAGCACATGCCCTGGGCCCCTCGTCTCGGTGTGTTGCTGGTATTGACTTGGCCACCGGCCGGGGTGGGTCTGCTCTGGAAGTGACCTACCTTCCAGGCAGCTGCGGTGAGCTCTCCTCTCACTGCATGCTCTTTCACAGAAGATCTTTTCTTTTCTTACCTAACCTCACGTGCGGTGCAAGGTTATGCACAATGCAAGCAAACGTTTGAGAAATGCTAATATCATGTAGAAAATGAAAGGGCCCCCAAATTCCCACCAACAACTCTTTGCAACATTTCTCTGCACGTTTACTAATGTGTTGCTGTTCCTGGTCACGTATCAGCGTGTTCACACCACACACGCCGCTGTGCTTGGATGCCCCTCCCGGCCAGCACGGGCAGGTTGGCCAGTGTAGGGGATGTCGTTTTACTCTTGGAGGACCATCGGTGGCCCCCACCGTCGCCCCTGAACTGAGTTCGGGGGAGAGGGGGCGCTCACTGACTGACGGAAGCCGGGTCGGGTCACTGTCCATTTTCTTAGATTCCTGGTGGAGTTCTTTGCCTCCTAACTCGAAGGGAGAGTCTTGAAGACCAGGGCGTTATGCTCCCGAGGTGCGAATACGAACGAGCTGGACAATCGGTGAGGGGTGCCCGGTGGAGGCATTTGCTCTGCAGAGCAGTGCAGCGGCGGGTGTCAGCGGTGGGCCTCGACTTAACATGGGAGGGGCAGGGTCTCAGGGGGACACAGACCCCACCTCTGTCTCGACCCTTTGGCGAGAAAGGAGCCACTCTGTGTGAATACCTGTTTCGTGCTTGAACCCTTCTCACCTGTTATCTTATCTTTCCAAAATCCTTATCGGCTTGAGACTGTCATCCCCATGTACAGTCATGAAGTTCCGGCTCGGCAGCAGCCCAGTAAAGTGGCGGTAACGGATGGAGGCAGGAGCGGACCCGTCCTCTCCTCCGGGCCCATCATTCATCGAGTCCTGCTCGTTGAGCATATTTGTTTTTCCTCTCACCCAAGGAGCAGATAAGGCTTTGGGCAGGCCACACATAGCAGAGCATAGGTGGGTTCATCACTCTTTGCCGTGTGTTCCTTGTCCTACCCCACATGTGTTCGCTTGTTCAGGAGCAGGCGAGTCAGATCAGGTCTCTCCTTCTGAGCTCCATCTCTCCCAAGCGAGGGCTCCACCAGCTCCGTAGTCGCAGGCTCTCCGTGAGGCCTCCCTCCCTCCCTCCCATTTCCTCGCCTCCTGCTTCTGTCCTGGGCCGCTCTGCTCAGACCCTGAGCCCTTCCCGCACCTCCCAGCCTGCGCTCCGCATCCCTCCTCTGCGCTGCGACTCTGACGTCAGTACCAGTTACTCCTTCTGTCCTCATCTCCCAGAGCGGAGTCTCTGCCGGGAACAGTGTGGGGTGCCAGCTGGGTGTCCGAGAAGCACTGGACAGTGAGTGAGCAGAGACCATGGGTGTCTCCCAGACGTGGTCCTGCCATTGCTGCGTGAGACGTAACAGGCTCATGGCACAGCTCACAGGACCGCGTGGGGACCGCACAACTTCGCGCTGTCAGCCACTGGTACAGCATGGCATGGCGGCATTGACATCTCTCACTTCCTTCTTGGGTTCTTCGAGTCTGTCAAACTGAATTAGCAAGACTAGGATTTACTAATTTGTAGGCTCTTTTCAGTGGGTTGTCCTCGGAGTCATTCGTCACTTTTAGTAATTTAATGGCATAACATATGACTCTTGTCTTTGTCTATGTACAGTTTCTTAAACCAGTCAATTGTTTGTTTGAATACTGAGAAACTTGGAGCTGGCCCCGGGGCCGAGTGGTTAAGTTCGCGCTCTCCACTGCAGGCGGCCCAGTGTTTCGTCAGTTCGAATCCTGGGCGCGGACATGGCACTGTTCATCAAACCACGCTGAGGCAGTGTCCCACATGCCACAACTAGAAGGACCCACAACGAAGAACATACAACTATGTACTGGGGGGCTTTGGGGAGAAAAAGGAAAAATAAATAAATAAATAAAATCTTTGAATATTGAGAAACTTATATTACTCCTAACTATTGTACCCACTTAGGCCTATTATAATTTCCCATCAACTGTTTCTCATCAGACAACCATAGCTGAGATGATCACCCAGGGGTGCTGGAGAGCCTGACGTTTATTCTCAGTGGTCTAGGATCCCGGTGCAAGCTGTTTTATCAGGAAGTGGCCGATCCCTGGCTCAGTCCGTCAGTATTATTAAAGCCCCGCCACGAGTCTGGCCATGTGCCCGAGGCTGAGATGGGCCTGCATTAGCTCAGGTCTTGTAGAAGAGGAAGCAGAGGTCAGGTGCGGTGAAGGGCTTTGCATGCAAGGATGACATCGATGCCAGATTCGGGGGCTCTAAGGAGGGTGAGGGAGCACCTCAGGAATGAGGAGGACGTTAGGAAGGCAGCTCTGAGAGGTGGCGACGGCCAAGTCTGAGAGCCAGGGAGCCCGTTGGTGTGCCTGTGTCCAGGATGCCCCGCTGGTCCCTCGTGGCTGTCCTGTGTGTCCACTGACCACAGAGGGGGAAGGGAGGAGATGGCAGAGTGCAGCCTGCAGCTTTGGGCGCTAAGGGAGGGGAGGATAAGAGCCCAGAAGACAGGATGCCCAGGAGGGAGGGCCTGGTGGGGAGGGCTTGGCTGAGCGAGGGTCTGACCCGCCTCACCGCTCCCGGTGAGGAGTCCTGCGGGTGGGGCCCTGCGCAGCCCCTCCCCACACACCTGACACCCTATGCCCATGACCCATGAGCAGGGCTCTCGGGTGCCGAGACACTGCCTGAGACCACGCTGCCCCTGAGGCTGGCTTCTGACTCCTTTGCAAGAGCACCTGTTCCTCCTCCTCCTGGACACGTCGGCCGCGCTGGGAGGGCCCCGCCCTCAGCCTCTCCAGGCTTCAGAAGTGGTCAAAGCCCGTCCAGACACTGCCTTCCCAGGGGCTTATAACTTGATTTCCATAGGCAGCAACTTCCAAAATGATGCAAAGTTACTACAAGTGTTATGGCAATATTCTTTTTCATTTTGCTGTTACAAAAATATAGTACTTTAGCTGTATTGCAGGTTTTATAGCCAACCTAGGACCTAACCACAAATTACAATGTTCTCGTGTGTAAAAATAGATGGTAAATCCCTGAGAGCAGTTCACGAATGGGCTTTGGAACACAGCCTGTTCAGACGGGGCTCCTGGTCTTCCATCTTCTCTGCTTCCCGATTCCTCGGCTTTCCTTGGTGAGTCCTTCAGGACCACGGTTTGAGTTACGAGCCGTCATCTCACGGCTCCCATGGCTGTGTTTGTGTCCAGCTGTACCTGGAGGCATCACCTGGAGGCGTCTGCAGGCCTGTAATTACACCTGTCCCCCAAACATGCCGTGGGCAGCCCCTCCTGGCTTTCCCATAATAGAGAATGTCCAGTGCTGCCATCCCCTTGGTCCATCCACGTCTCCCCTTTCTCCTGCATCCAATTGGACCCACCTAGGCCTTTGCAGAGCCCCCTGCCCACCCCCGACTCCAGCCTGAGTATGGCCTTGACTCACGTGCACACTCAGTGGTCAGTGCTGGTTGTCCCCGGTTCTAGTTATGTGCGTCTTTCCCACTTGGATTTCCAAGCCAGGCTGAAGGCAGACGCTGTATCTTGAACGTCCTTCCCCGTATTTAGCACAGCATCTGCCCCAGAAAAGTCAGCACGTGCTGCTCAAATGGCTGAGCAAATCGTTTGCCAAGTTGCACCTGACAGGGGCGGCCCCGTGGCCGAGTGGTTAAGTTCTTGCACTCCACTTTGTGTCCCGGGTTTGCTGGTTCAGATCCTGGGCGCCGACCTGCACACTGGTGGCTCATCAAGCCATGCTAGAATGACAACTAGGATATACAACGATGTACTGGGGCTTTGGGGAGAAAAACAAAAAGAGGAAGACTGGCAACACACGTGGGCTCAGGGCCACTCTCCCCTCACCGGAAAAAAAAAGTCGCACCCTACATTTGGTGCCTCTGTGAGATAAAACACCCCATCTTCTGATAACATTGAGTTTCCCAAATTTATTTAGCTCTGTATTTAAAAATTACAAATAACTTTCCTTTGACTTTTGGATTTCTAGTGAGAATTTTTTTTTTAACTTTTTGTTAAGATTATGATAGTTTACAACCTTGTGAAATTTCAGTTGTACATTATTGTCAGTCGTGTTGTAGGTGCACCACTTCACCCTTTGTGCCCTCCCCCCACCCCCCCTTTCCGTTGGTAACCACCAATCAGTTCTCTTTGTCTATTCTAGTGAGAATTTTAAAGCAGGATGTCCTCCGCCTTTTGGAGTTGGCCTTCTTGTATTCGTGTGAATTCGAATGAGTCCCTTTGACATGAGGACGTGGTGTCTTTCAGATGCCTGCTCCGTGCCTGTTTCTGAAATCATCACTGTGGAAGAGCAGGATGTCCATGGGAAGCGCTCCGCCAGCGGGAAATGGCAGAAGATGGAGAGGCTTTACGCTTTCACAGGTGACGCGGCCCGACTGACTCCCCCAGGTCTTCGGGATCTCAGGCAGAGCACCTGAGAGGGAACCTTTCTGTGACTTGCTTAACAAGCTCAGTGTCTGCCTGGTTTATCTTTATAGAAACTGCCTTATGTCATTTTTTCCAGGATCTACTTTTAATTAATGTTTTGGTTTTGATCGTCTTTTTTCTTATTTCTTTTACCTGGGTTAAAAGAACAGAATAGGATCTTTTTTCTAATATACCTTGAAAGTTTCTAACTAATCAGAGGAAGAGAGAACACTGGGACATTGCAGTGACGAGCCCGGGGTGGTGTCCGTAGGGCCGCGGGCTCCGAGCTGACAGTGCGCTCCTTTCCCGCAGTGCACTACGTGCAGAGAGCCCGCCAGCACCGCTGGAAGTGGACAAAGGTGACCTTCTGCTGTGCTGACGAGCAGCTGTGCCATCTGTGGCTGCAGACGCTCCGGGAGCTGCTGGAGAACCTGAGTACGTGAATGTTTTTATGTTTGAAGAAAGAGACAGCCGCAGCGTGACGCGTGCTGCTGTCTCCTCCTTTTGCACAGCTTCCTGTCCCAGGTGCCATGTGGTCAGCCACGTGGCTTGTCGGAATTCACTGGTGAGAGGCCAGCGTGGTGTGGCGCCCAGAGCGTGGCCTCCGCCCTCCCTGACCAGCTGCCAGAGCCGGGCCGGCCCCTAGGCCTTGCTATTGCAGCCACTCTGTAATTTTAACTCCTAACCCTGTTGTCTGTTTTAATGTTTAATTGAAATACAGCATAGATACAGAAAAGTGCCTGCATCCTGAGTGTGAGCTCGGGCGGTACCCGCACACTCAGCACACACTGTGACCAGCACCCTGATCAAGAAACAGAATCTCGCTGGCCCCCCAGACCCCCTGCGGTCCCGGCTCCCCTTGGGGGAACTCCTGTCTGACTTCTGAACAACCGGATTCGTTTTGTGCTTCCTCTCAGTCGGATCATGCAGCGTAAACTCGGCTCGCCATTATGTTTGTGAAGTTTATCCATAGTGTGGTTGTTCGTTCTCTTGGCTGCACGGTATTTCTTCCCTGGTGTGAATGGACGACTATTTGTTCATCCGTTTTCCTCTTACGGTCATTTGGATAGTGTCCCAGTGTGGGCTGTTGGGAGTCGTGGCGTTCTGAACATTCTAGTACGTGTCTTGTGGTGAACACACGCTGGCATTTCTCTTGGGTGCACCCTGGGAATGGAATTGCTGGGTGGACGGTATGCGTATGTCCAACCTCGTGGACACCCCCACGCTGTCTTCCAAAGTGGTAGTTCCAGGGGCACTCCCCAGCAGAATATCAGTTCTGGTTGTCCCACATTTTAACCACACCTTTAAGATTTTAGCCATTCTGGTGGGTGTCAGAGTCTTGCATTATGGCTTTAATTTGCATTTTCCTGATAGCTAATGAGTTGAGAAATGCATTCCTAGGTTTATAGGCCATTTGGAAATCCTCTTTTGTGAGGTGTCTGTTCAAGTCTTTGTCCATTTTCCTGTTGGGTGTCTGTCTGTCTTAATGATATATACAAATTCTTTATATATTGTGGGCCCGAATCTGTTACTGGATTTCTGAGTCACAGATCTCTTGTCCCACTGTGTGGCTTGCGTCTCACTCTCCCGTCATTCCACTCTTTTGATGGACATTGTTAATTTTTAACGTGGTATGTTTTTCTTTTTTTTTTAACTCTATGGCCAGGTTGTGTCCTATTTAGGACATCTTTGTCCACCCCAAGGCCATGAGGATGTTTGCTCTCAAAGCTGTTCTGCCTTTCACATTTAGATCTGCACCCGTTTGCAACTGGCTTTGGTATGTGGTATGAGGTGAGCCGTCAAGTTTCCTTTTCCTTAAATGTGGATATCCACTTGACCCCATGCTGTTTGTAGGAAAGACTGGCCTTTTCCCCACGGCACTGTGGTGCTGCCATTTTTTTAAAAATTTATTTACTGCTTGTGTCTGGAAATTTAATTGAATTTTGTATTTTACGTTGCACCCAATGACCTTGCTAAATTCACTTATTAATTTTAATAGTTTGATGATTCTTTTGTCAACTGTGAATAATGAGAGTTCCGTTTCTTCCATATTAGTTCGTGTGCCTTTTATTTCTATTTCTTATGCTTTTGCCCTGTTTTGGACCTCCAGTTCGAGGGGATGGTCTTAGTCCTGATCAGGAGGAAAGTTTTCAGCGTTTCACTGTCAAGAATGGTGTTTCTTAGGTTCTTAGTAGATGTTTAAAAACCAGATTAAGGAAGTTCCTTTCTAATTCTAGTTTTCTGAGAGTTTGGTTTTTTTAAATCATGAATGGGTATTGAATTCGATAAATGCTTTTTCTGACTCTCTTGGGATGATTGTATGATTTTCTTCTTTTTGAGTTACTGTGGTGAAGAACATTGATTTCTCTTCGTATAAATGCAAGTCGTCGTATTGCTGGAATAAACCGCACTTGGTCATCACGTGTCCCCTTTCTACGTATTTCTGGGTTTGACTTCCTGATATTCTGTTTGGGGTTTTCGTGCCCAGGCTTGGGAGAAGTAGCCCTGTGCGCCTCCTTTCTGAGAACATCCTTGTCTGGTTCTGCTGTCAAGCTTACGGTGCGGGCCACGTGCAGAGCTGAGAAGCGCTTCTGCCTTTTCTGTTCTGCAGCAGAGTTTGTCTAATGCTGAGGCTACTTTTTTCCTTAACTATTTGGAAGCATTAATTGGTGAAACCATTGGGCCTGGGCTTTCTCTGTGGAAAGGTTTTTATTAATGACTTCAGTTTCTTTATTAGATATCAGACTATTCAGATTTTCTGTTTCTTTCTGTTAGCTTTGGTAAATTGTATTTTTTGGAGAAATTTTATTTCATCCAAATTTATAAATTTATTAACAAATCCTTTCCCTTACCTTGTAATATTTGTAGATTCTGAAACAATGTCCCCTTTCTCTTTCCTGATATCACTAATTTGTGTTTTGTCCCTTTTTCTTTATCAGGAATTCATCAATTTTATGAATCATTTCAAAGAACCGACTTGGCTTTGTTGATTTTCTCTGTTGTATATGCATTTCCCCCAATATTTTATGATGAAGATTTTCAAACATACAGGAAAATGGAAAGAATTGTACAGTAAACGTTCATATACCCACCCCCTAGATTCTAACATTTTTCTGTATTTGCCTCGTCGATGTGTACCGACCCATCCACTGGTTAATCGGACTTTTTGCTGTGTTTCAAAGAGAGTGGCAGACATGGGGCACGTCACCTCTGAACCCTTCAGTGCGAGTCGTCACCTAGAGAGCAGGTTTGTTGGCAGCCGTGAGGTAGAATTTACGTGCCTGTGGGGCCCGAGCCCCTGGAAGGCTTGCTCCACCCGAGGTTTTCTCTGGTCCCCCCGTTAGTGCGGAGACACCCGCTGTCTGGTTGCTCTGTCGTTGTTGCTGCGCATTGGTCTTGCCGGCTCTCGATCTCTCTCCGTGGAGTCGGGTGACGGGCTCTTTCTCGGGAGGCTTCGCTCGCTCAGCGTGGCGGCTCTGAGACCCACTCGTGGTGGTGGGTGCTTCAGCACTTTGCCCCTCTTTGTTGCCCGGTAATATTCTGTGGGACGGACAGACCGCGTTGTGCATGCGGTTGTCAGCTGATGGACATTTAGGGTGTTTCCACTTTTTGGCTACTGTGGCTAGTGCCGCTGTGAACATTTGTGTGCAGGATTCTATGAGGACTTAGGTTTTCAATTTTCTTGGGTACATTTCTTCTTTTTACTTTTATTGAGTTGCTAGTTACATTTGTTTTTTTAAGTATCAAAATCTGCTTGAACTGACCCAGACAGAAATGTGGAAGTTGTTACAAGAAAATAGGGGTGACTCTGGAGACCCCGGTGTGGGAGGGAGCTGGGCCTCTGGAAGGGACTGGGCCCTGGGACTGGGAAGGCTGGCTGAGAGCTCGCTGTCTTTCCGTCTCTCTGTCCGTCTCCAGGTCACGCTGTCTCTGTGCCTCTCCATCTTTCTCTCCTAAGGCTCCATTCTGTACCTCTGTTGCATTCTTCTTATTCTCTGCAAACCCACTTCCTTCATATGAAGAACGAGGCTGCCGCCTTCCAGAATCTACATCTTAAAGGACTCTGCATCAGGAGAGTGTCCTCCCGTGAGCATTCTGAAACCCTGGGGCTCTCCTTCCATCCAGCAGACGCGCAGAGCACCTGCCCGTTCTGACAGGCTGTCACTTCTCTCTTTTCATGGATTAGGAAACTCTTTACTACTGTTCTTTAACTTAAAAATGCTTTTTATCAGATAACACTAAGTAGAATCCTGAAACCGTTGTGATTCTTTTTGGTTAGTAACACATTCATTTTGATTGCCGTATTCACTGTGATTCACACATTGTTGTGGTGGTTGTTTTGTAGCGTCGAGACCAAAGCATTTACTGGTGTTCATCAATCCCTTTGGAGGGAAAGGACAAGGCAAGCGGATATATGAAAGAAAAGTGGCGCCGTTGTTCGCGTTAGCCTCTGTCACCACTGAAGTCATTGGTAAGCTGTAAATCCTGTATTAAATATGTAGAAGTGAACTTGAGAACAATTCAAATGTAGTCACTAGAGAAGATTTTTATCCTAGAAGATGATTTTAAACAAAATAGAGTGGTTTTTTTTTCACCTGCCAGAATGAGAATACAAAATAAAGAATGTAGACCTTTCTAGCCAAGACTTAGCATATAAAGCACTTGAGAAAAATGCTAAGAAGATAAAAGGACAAAGATCATGGACAGGAAACTCTTGCAAGAAGAGAGACAAGCGATTCATAAGGCTTAGAGATAATTTCACCAATAAGTGACATTTTAAGAAATACGGCACCACGTTTGTGGCACAGTTTTCAGTGCAAGTTCTCTAAGCTGGAGGGTGCGAGGACGGCCTTCTCTGCCCTGCAGTGCTTTGAGAGTCTGCTGTAAACTTATGAAAGAGCCACCTGGCAGAGCAGGTCAAGAGCCTCAAAACTGAGGGATTTTGCCCAGTATTGCAGTTTCTGAACCTTCCCCAGAAAAACGACTGGATGCACACAGATGTCACTGCACATGTTATAATAGCTAACCATTGGAAATGACTTAAATGCCCCTCACAGGAAACGTGAAGATAGAATAGAGGTGAGTCTGAAAGAGTAGTATATAGCCCACCAAAGCGGTCTTTACATAGAATTCTTTTTTTTTGCTGAGGAAGATTCTCCCTGAGCTAACATCTGTTGCCAATCTTCCTCTTTTTTGTGAGCCACTACCGCAGCATGGCCACTGACTGACGAGTGGTGCAGGTCTGTGCCCAGGAACCAAGCCCAGGCTGCTGAAGCCCAGCATCCCGAACTTAGCCACTAGGCCACTGACACTGGCCCCAAAGAATTTTTAATGATAAAAAAGTGATTGTGATAAAATGTTGGGAAAACAAAGACACAAAATTGTGTGTACAGTAGGATTTCAAAACAGATTTTGTTTCTTACATTGAGTATACAGACTAGGGACTAACATTTTCTTTTTTTCTACATTTTGGTATATTCTAAAATTTTCAGAGTAACTTGGATAATAAGGAAAAAGTATAAAATAGGAGATGTAATCTCTTTCCAAAGTTATTATTTGTTGGCAATTAAGTGCCAAGACCGTGCTGTCTTACCCAGTGGCGTGCGACTGAGGGCAGTGCTCCGTTGAGCCGGCTCGCTCCCCTCCACAGGAGGGGCTGTGGGACGGTCAAAGAAGGGATTTCTCTTAGGAAATCCTCCTGAAGATTTCGTAGTCCTCATTTTAAAAGAATGGTTTATTTGCCTTTTATTTTAAATAGGATTCACAGATTTGAATATAAACTATACGATGTAATGTTATTTTTTCCCGCAGTTACTGAGCGTGCTAACCATGCCAAGGACAGTCTATATGAGATCAATATAGATAAATATGATGGGTGAGTAAGGCCGCTTTCATCCTGAGTAATAAACGGTAAATTCTACCCAGGTTTTAAGATCTGTCTCAGTTGTCTTTGCTCCCTTTCCTTACATTTTTTTCCCAGTTGTAAAACTAGACGTGCTACTTACAGAAGATAGCAAAGGCAGGAAAGCGGAGAGTGAAACCCCTTCTCCGATGTGGGGACCTAACAGATTGGTGCTCTCCTCTTCCCTCTCCCACCTACTGACACCGACTGTTTTTCCAAATCATTTGAAAGTATGTTATAGACGTGATCACCTTTTGTCCCTAAATATTTCAGTGTCCATCTCCTAAAAACAGGGCCATTCTCTACAGAGCCAGAATACAGTTATCAAAACCAGGTAGTTAACACAGACGCAGTACTATTTTCTATTTGCTGCCCTTATTCAGATTCTGCCAGCTGTCCCATTATTTCTTTAATGCCAAAGAAAATCCTGGATGATGCACTGCCTTCCATCCCATTGTCATGCTCTCTAGTCTCCCGTAACCCTCTTGGTGTGGCTGTGTTTTGAGAGTCCAGGCCAGTGATCCTGTAGCATGTCCCTCGGTTTGGGTCTGCCTGATGTTTCCTCTGGGTCAGAACCTGGTTGTGCGTTTCTGGCTGTGACACCATGGAAGGATGCTGTGCGCTTCCTGGTTACCGCATCAGGAGGCGTGGCAGGCGGCCTTCTCGTGTGCTCTCATGCTTATGTTGTGTGTGTCCCTGCTGGCGTGTTGCTCCTGGAGAGCCGGCCTCTGCCTGTGCACACTGATCCCCCAGCACCGGAGTGAATGAGCGGACGGGACCTGGGGAAAGGCGGCTGAGCCTGTAGGTGGTGAGGATCAGGGAAAGCTCACAGACAGAGGCGCTAGAGGACCAGGCTTGCATTTTGGAAGGATACTTTTGAAAGCCAGTGGCAAGTAGCCACGAGGGGGGATTGGACCCAGGGAGGCCGCGGGGGGTTATGGGTGGTGGGCAGGAGCTGGCTGGACAGTGGCATAGGGCACATGCAGAGGGGATGGCCTCCAGGACGTCTGGGGGAGAATCGACTGGTCCCTGTGACTGGCTTTTGAAGAAGACACACTGGGATTCCTAACCAAGTGGCGGTGGTGTTATTGAGCTGTGAGATAAGAAACTGAGGCGGGGTTTTTTTAATTAAATTTTTTTTAAAGATTGGCACCTGAGCTAACACCGATTGCCAGTCCTCTTCTTTGTTTTAATTCTTCTCCCCAGAGCCCCCCATACATAGTTGTAGATTCTAGTTGTGAGTGCCTCTGGTTGTGGCATGTGGGATGCTGCCTCAGCACGGCCTGATGAGCGGTGCCATGTCCGCGCCCAGGATACAAACCCATAAAACCCTGGGCTGCTGAAGAGGAGCGCGCAAACTTAACCACTGGGCCATGGGGCCAGCCCCCTGAGGCGGGTTTTGAAGACAACAGTGCAGCTGTGTAGTGGGTCTGCCCTCTGTAGTCTGGCCGGCCTGAAAGTTAAGGGGTAGCTGAGGGCTGGACTTCCAGGGTCTGATCCTGGTCTGCGCCCCACCAGCTGTGTGACACGGGGCCGGCTGCACTGTCTCTGCGCTGGAGCTCCTCGTCATAGGTGACGTTGCACCCTGCCTCAGGGCTGCTGAAGGCTCTAGGAGTCATAACACTGGGGTTCTCAAGTGGGCAACTGTGCCCCCAAGGACGTCAGGCGATGTGAAGAGTGACCCCGGAAGAGAGGTTCTGGGAAGCAGGTTTTAGTCACACGGTGGAGTGGCGAGGCGGAGACTGGAGACCGGCTCCCGGAGCAGCAGCGTGTGTTAACGTGCTGCGTGTAACAGGAACAGGACAAAAGCTCGGACGTGCTGTTGGGACTGGGCGGGAGTGTTTCCCCTGCCAGGGGGCTCCGGTTTCCAGGACGGTGGGGCAGACTCCCTGGGGACGTGGGGGACGGCGGAGGGAAGGACAGGCCTGTTTTGTTTTTCCATGCTGTCTGCTTATTTCGCAGCCGCTTGGCCTGAAGGGAAGGACCAGGCAGGGGGCCGGGGAGGGGGCGGCATTCTCTGATGAGCAGAGCCCAGAGGGACACAGCGGGCCTGGGGCTTGGTCCCAGCCCTGCCTTCACAGCCTCTCAGAGCCTCGGCCTCCTTGCAACAGGAATCAGGAGCCTCTCCTGGCAGAGCCGGGAGGCTGACGGAGTGTAGAAAGACCTGACTGAGGGGACGGGTGAACGAGCACGGGAGCACGTCCCAGGGCTCTGGAGAAGGGTGGGCTGCGGTGGCCAAGGGGACGCGAGCTCCAGGAAGGAGGGGGTCGCTGGGTCTGCACTGCCGGTCGCCCTCGCTTTCCCCGGGGAGTCGGCCGTCCTGCGGTCAGTGGCACACTGCCTTCCCAGGAGCGCCACGGGGAGCCGCGGAGCGCGGGCGTCGTGGGGCCAAGCCAGGGGCCTAAGGTGCTTGTTCCCGCAGGGTCGTCTGTGTCGGCGGGGACGGCATGTTCAGCGAGCTCCTGCACGGCCTGATCGGCAGAGCGCAGAGGAACGCTGGCGTGGACCAGAACCAGCCCCGCGCCACGCTGGTGCCCAGCCCGCTCCGCATCGGCATCATCCCCGCGGGTATGGCAGGCCCTGCCCTCCCCTCCGCTGCCGGCTCCGCGCACGAGGCCCCCACGGCCCGGCCCTGCCCACAGGCATCTGGGCTCAGGGCCGCTTACACTGGGCTGTGCCATTCTTGGGTTTTCCTTCAGGTTCATTTTGTGATTTAAACTCTGATTTTATCACCACACAGCTATTGCGTCCTTTTTGGAGAGACGGTTTATGAGCCATTAAAGGACGCGTCCTGCGTGGCTGGAGGAAGCCTGGCCTCCCCGGACGCCTGCCTTCCGCGGGGCCGGGAATCCTGCCGCTGCGGCACGGTCTCTGCTCAGAGAGCTGACCATTTGGTGGTGGGGGCACGGGCGGGGGCTCACTAAGTCATCACAGGCCCCCTGCTGCCCCCCCACACCCCCAGCACAGTTGAGCATAAGGGAGCCTAGGGAGCTGGCGGTTTTCTGGAAGAAGTGACTTGTACCTGGATGCACAGGAGCTGGGAGTCGGGACGGCAGGGGCTGGCCGCTCTGGGGTCAGCGCCGCGTCAGCCTTGTGGCTGCTGGGCTGTCCAGGAGGTGCCTGGCTCAGCGTCTTCTGCCTCTTTCTAGGCAGCCCCTGGCTGGTTGAACAGTCGCAGCGGTAAGCTGAGTAGCAGGTGAGGCCTGGGCGTTGCTGGCTCAAGGCTTTGCAAGCTGCCCCCTAGGGACGAGGCGCCATCCCCGCCCTCGTGTCTGGGCCTGGCGGCTGCGCTCCCCACACACTGGCCCGAGGCCAGGCTCTGGGCAAACATCCCACAAAGCGGGTCTGCAATTTCTTTCTCACGGCAGCTCTGTGAAGCTGTAGCCATAATCGTCCCATTTGATGGATGGAGAAGCGAGGCGAGGGGGTGGGGCCACGAGGTCCCCGGAAATGCAGGGGCCAGGGGAGCTCAGATCTGCCCACCAGCCCACGGTCAGGAAAGCCCTTGTCTGTTTCTAATTGCCTGTAGCATTGTTTGTGTATCAGGTTGGTTGGTTATGTGTCTCACAACTTTTTTCCACATTAGGCTTCCGTCTTTTAACTTTGCAGCTGGTGTGTTCTGGACTACATGAATTTTGTTTTTCTGTATTCGAATCTGTTTTTCCTTTATGCCTTTTATCACCATTTGCAATGGCAGCATGAATACCTTCTCAGCTATTAAAATTTGCCTTAGGAGCTCCCGCAGACCCGGGTCAGGTGGACCCCGCAGTCGGTACACGGGCAGCGCCCTGCTTCCCCGTGGCTTAGGACGGACTGAGCACGGGCCGCACCCTGGTTGGGTCTTGGAGGCTCAGCAGAGAACAAGATCGGGTAGCCTCTGCCCACCAAAAAGACAGCGGACACACACGGCTGGTGTGAAAGTGTCTCCATGGCGGGCATGCTGCGGAGAAGGTGCCCTGAAGGGTGGGCTCGGGCCCGTGGCTAGGAGGGGCTGCTTCCCGTAGGGAGTCCAGGGGCCTTTCTGAGAGGTGCCGGTGAGAGGCCAGCCGTGCAGGCACGTGGAACCGTGCCCAGGGGCAGAGGGCGGTGGTGGGAATGGGCCATGCACTCAGGACAGGGGGCCGGTGTGGCTGGGGGTCCTGGAGGTGGGGCTGTAGAGGGGACTGGAAAAGGGCCGGGGCCAGGGGTCATGTCCTGAAGGCCTCGCAGAGATGCAGCAGGAGGACATCTCGGAGGCCGGTCAGCAGGGGAGTGGCGTCTGACTGAGCTTGAAGCCACGTTCTCTTCTAGGAGCAGTTGGGAAGGCTGCCCGAGGCCCAGGGAGGACGCTGTTGGCTTGGACTGTGGGCGTGTGGTCAGCTGTGCCTCGGGCATAGCTTTGGTGGCGTCAACAGGAATCAAAGGAGGAGTAAGAGTGAGGGAGGCATCAAAGGTGGGCCTGTGATGTTGGCCGTGGCAATCTGGTGGGGTCGAGACGAGGAATGAGGATGGGGGGGTGAGTTCTGATGGAGACGAGCAGGATGTGGCTCCTGGGCAGGCCCTGCAGCGGCGGCTGGAAATAGGTCTGCCGCGCAGGGCGGGCGGTGGGTGGTGAATGGGGTCATGGCGTCTAGACGGGGTCTGACGGCCTCGGGGTGGACGGGACGCCGCAGGACGCAGCGTCCTGAGAGCCCAGACGAGCCATCCCTGCTTCTGAAGGCCCCATCCCACTGCTGTGAGTTCCATTCCAACGTTCCGTGAGTTCAAAGTCGCTTTCCAACTCGATGTTAATTTAGAAGTGTTAGCCAGTCTACAGAAAGAAGTCTTCATTCCATGGGCCTTGGTCTGCAGGGTCCTTTCCTTGCAGCGCCTCCTCTTCAACCCACACTTGTGTCACGTGACTGAGGCTTAGGGAGCCTCGGGAAATGATGTGTGCTCGGCACTCGAAGTCGCCCTGAAGCCCGGGGCTTCCTAAGCAGAAGGATGCAGTGGTCGAGCGGCCCCGCTGGGTGTGCTGACGGGATGTGCGACCCCACGACCATCCCTTAAGGGGCAGGAGGCACAGTGTGGCCTACCCCAGGCACAGGGTCCCTGTAAACACTGGGGCGGGCTGCAGCCCCACCTCGTCTGAGCCCCGCCGGCAGGTGAAGAGCCTTCTGAGCCGCGTGCAGCCTCTCTCAACAGAAGGATGTGGGCCCGAGGGGTGCCAGCTGCCTGTCCTCCTGTGAAAAGCTGAAGCGATGGCTCTGTGCTTATGTGTGAAGTGACCTCTGCTGGATCCTGCTGGGTCAAAGTTGGCAAAAAGTTCTCAGTTTTTGAATGTTGCTTCCTTTCATTTCCTTATGGCACAAAATTTGTTTCTTTGATAAAACAGATCCATAGTGATCCCTCAGGTGGCTTCCTGTCACGTGAGTTAACTGGGTAACAGTGACCGCAGCTGCTGGTTATCGGGCACTTCCTGTACGCTGGGCCTCGTGCCAGGTGCCCACCACCTTGTCTGATTCCCAAACAGCCTGCTGTGTGGGTGCTGGCATTCTCAGTCCTAAATCTGCAACCCAGCTGCCAGCATAACTTGCTGACAGGCTCCTGCTGGCAGGTGACAGGGCCACACCTGGACTCTGATCTGGCTCCCTCAGTCTCCACCACCTCCCCAGCCCTTTCCTGCGTGGACATGTCTCCTTATCGTGACCCCGTGCTGGTGGGAGCGGGTTCTGGAAGGGAAGAGGGGCCCTTGTGACCCTGTGTTGGTGAGAGTGGGTTCTAGAAGGGAAGAGGGGCCCTCGTGACCCCGTGCTGGGGGGAGCGGGTTCCGGAAGGGAGAGGCCCTCGTGACCCCGTGCTGGGGGGAGCGGGTTCTGGAAGGGAGAGGCCCCTCGGAGCCTTCCCTGCCAGCAGCTTCCAGTGTGCGCTTGGCCCTGTGGAAGCTCTGCAAACATAAAGCTGACTTTTAAGGAAGGTGCTGGTGTCCCCTTATCACTTCTCACTATGTCACCTTGGTCAGGAAAGTACGATTTAGATTCAGATGGCTCCAGAGGAGAAGTGGTGACCTGGTGTCTCTGAGGAAATGCTGAGCCCAGCCTGTGTATAGCTGGAGATGCGCTGCAGATCAACTCACCAGTCCGATTCCTTTCCAGAAGCGTGTCGTGCGGCTGCCACACTGTGCCAGCACCTGCAGGAGTCGTCCCAGGCTCCTGAGTGGGGACAAGCCGTCACACATGCTCGCTTCTAAGCACTGCACTTTGAGCAACAGGAAAGTGTACTGGAACTTAAGGCCGGGCTAAGCTCCCCTGGGAAGGGAATTTTCTTGCTTCTGCCTCCTTCTCAGAAGGGCTGTGTCTCACACAGGAAAAGGCAGAAGGGCGGCAGTTAGCTTGACTGTTGTGGCCAGAGGATAGTGCGTGCCTGCTGCCTGCTCCGTCCTGGGCGGGGACTAAGCTTCCCGGGAGGGTGGCATCCCCGACGGGACCATGAGCCGTGGGGCTGGGAGGGAGACACACAGCTGACGCCGTCAAGGGTAAGTGCATGGCCAGGGGTGCCGAGGGCACAGGTGCCTGTCACGAGTCGATGCCAGAACCAAGTCACGACGCCCCCAGGAACCAGATCTTACCTCTCCAGCTGGGGCTTCCTCTGGGTCAAGGTCTTACCACACAGATATTTGAAGAAATAATTGGGAGTTACTTTGTATCCTAGAGGGATGTCACTTTTGTTAAAAGTGACAAAGTTAAACGAGGGAGAAATGGGGTTTTGGGGACGAGTAAGCACCAGGATGTTTGCGTGGACTTGCGGCAGTTGTCTGATGGCTCCAGCTGCCAGCCAGGCGGCCTCTTCAAACCGAAACATCAGGATTCCACGACCTGAAGTCACCCCGGGGCTCTGGCAGTTCATTCCTTCAGTCAGTCATCATGCATTCATTCAACAGATTTCTCAAGCCGGGAGTGAACAGGCAGGGCACACACAGGCCAGGGGGAGAGACAGACGCTAAGTAAGAAATGAAGGGAGCCAGCCCTGATGCCGTAGTGGTTACAATTCTGCGCTCATGCTGCAGCGGCCCGGGTTCATTTTCCGCTTGTAGAACCACACCACCCATTTGTCAGTAGCCATGCTGTGGCAGCGGCTCACGTGGAAGAACTGGAGGGACTGAACAACCAGGATGTACAACCATGCACTGGGGCTTTGGGGAGAAAAAAAAAGGAAGATTGGCAACAGATGTTAGCTCAGGGCGACTCTGTCCCTGCGAAACAACAACAAAAAAGAAATAGAGTGTCGAGCCATGGGGCATGGGGGGCACACTGGTCCAGACAGGGTGCTCAGGGAGGCCGTTAAGGCCTGACACAGACCTGAGGCCCAGGACGGGGAGGACAGAGCCCTGCATCTGGGCAAGATATTTCAGGCAGGAGGAGTGGCCCGTGCAAAGGCCCCGAGGCAGGAGCAAGCTTGGCTGTGGGTGGTGCTGTCAGAGGTCAGGTGGCGTGAGCCAGGTGAGGCAGAGGCAGAGCGGAGGTGGAGATGCAGGGAGAGAGGCACGGTGGCCTCAGGAAGGGTTCTGAGGAGGGAGTAAGCTGAACTGATTACTTTCTTTAAAAATCTGATTTTTCAGCAAAGTAATCCCTGAAACCTTTTAGAAACTCAGTTTACCTATCATATTCATTGCCCCAAGGACCCAGATGACATGGAGAGTGGACGTGTGTCCCCTGGTCCAGGGGCGGGGCCCCACAAAGTTCTCTGCTTCGCCTCCAGGTTCAGGTGCCCTTTGGCTCTGCGCCGTCGTACGCTCTCAGTGGAAGCGTTTGCAGTGACTTCCTGTAGAGTGAAGTCTTCCTCTGGAGACGTGGGCCACGTCCTCCCAGGGCCCCGGAGCCCGAGGCGCGGCCCAGGCCCGAGCATCTGACCAGAAAGACCCTGCCCGCTGCCCGTCCCGCCCCTCCTCCCTCCGTGAGATGCCCCTCAGGCAGCTGCTGAATGACGGGCCGCTGTCCTTGAGGTCGGTCACCAGCCCATCTTTGCAGTGGTTGTGAAGGGAGCATGTGGCACCGTCAGAGACAAGTGCTGTTCACAGGACAGAGCCCTCCTGGAAGCTCCTTCCCAAGCCTTCTAACTGCCTCTTGACACAGAGCAATTAGGTTCTAGACAGACCCAGGGACGACAGTGGGCTTGGAAGCTCTGCGTTTATGGGACGCGGTGCAGAGTGGGGACGGACATGGGCCCTGCATTTTCCCGGAGATCAGGCTGAATTTCTACTGTCTGCAGATGTTGATCACACAGGTCACCTCTGAGGAAACGCAGGCAGGTTGGGTGTCTGGTCAGCTTTGTCCTAAAGGATGGTTTGTGAAGAAAGTGAACAGTGCACTAGACACAGGAGGGGAGCCAGCGGGCTCTGTGGCAATTCTGGAAAGTCCTAGGGACGTGAAGGACTCTACCCCCGGTTCAAATAATTCAGTGGCTCTTTTGGAGTTTGTTCTCTCAGAAATGTTTATCCTTATTTTTCGGGTACCCTTATAAAGATGAAGGGTGTGGGACAGAGTCCGAAACACAGAGTTTTTCTTAGATACTGTTAATGACGTTTTAAGAATTAGTCACTCCTATGATCTTAAATCTTCATTTAAAAATTTTTTACTTTTTGGCTCATTTTTGGAGTGAGATGTCTCTCAATTCTTTAGGTTAAGATTAACAGAAAAGAAAAATATATGTATGAACATAGACATTTGTGTGTTTGTATGTTACCAACCAGCAGAGGTCGCACGTCAGCTTAGATAGTGATCAAGAGCCATCCTTGCCCTCTGACCTCAAAGTGTGGGGACGCTGTTCCTCCAGTAGACGGAGGGGGGCTCGCGGGCTCACCCGGCTGTTGGGAACCATGAACTTTCAGGTTCAATGGAAGACACTTATGCCGACAGACTTGTGGATTGCTCTGGGGCCTGAGGGCGAGCATCTGGGCCCTGCAGTGGCGCGGCTTCTGGGCCTGCTAACTCTGTGGTTACGCCCCCATGGATCTGGGTCTGTGCGGGGCGTGTCTGGGCAATACTGTGCGATTTTAGATGCTGTCACCCAGGTGATCCTCGGGAATTGTAGACTAGGCTTTTTCAACGATCGAGCAGATCTGTCGAGATTCAGATTGCTCAGCCCCATCCCGGCCCTACTGAGTGAGAATCTCGGGGGGCAGTGTTCAGGGGTCTCTTTGTAAACAAGCACCTGGGGAGATTCTCCGCCCACTCGGGCTGAGAACAGTGCCTGGATTGTACCCCAGTTGGAACCAGGACAGACCAGCGAGGACCAGTAGCAGCATCATTGCCACGCTCAGGGATCCAGTGCTGGCTGGTACTCTGAGGTCACCCCGTCTACAGCCAAGCCGGCCAGCGGGAGGAGGTTGACCCCTGGCTGCCATCAGGCATGTGCTCGCCATGTTCAGCAGGGTGCAGAGCCGGACCACCTGGCCCCTCACGCCTGGGCTGGTGGCCGCCAGGCCCCCATGCCCCAGGGAAGGGCCAGGGCTCTGGTCCTCTGACCGCACACATGGAGAAGCTAAAGTGCGTTTCTGTGACACGTGGAGCTGCTTCTGTCCTGGCGTCATGTCCCCTGTCCCACTGGCGACGCCTCGAGCAGATTCCCTTTGCAGCCGTCTTTGCGGCAGCTGCGGAGGACACGCCCTGCAGAGCGCTGAGCCACCACCGCAGGCACTTCTCAGGGGGCTCTGCTGCCCAAGATGGGGCTCAAGAGCTTGCTGATACCATTGCAAGGTTTCTCTCAATTTTTTTTTGAGGAAGATTGGCTCTGAGCTAACATCCGCTGCCAATCCTCCTCCTTTTGCTGAGGAAGACTGGCCCTGAGCTAACATCCGTGCCCATCTTCCTCTACTTTATATGGGGGACGCCTGCCACAGCATGGCCTGATAAGCAGTGAGTAGGTCTGCGCCCGGGATCTGAACCGGTGAACCCCAGGCTGCCGAAGCAGAACACATGAACTTAACCGCTGCGCCACCAGGCTGGCCTCTGATCTCAATATTTTTGATGAATCAATCTAAATATTTCTAATATTCACTTTGTAGGTAAATTGCATTTTTTCCTTATTTACTCCAAAGCTGTGGAAGAAAAGCAAGAACAGACCACTTGCTCAGCGGGAAGCCCGCTACGACTCTGAGTTCTTATAATAACATTAAGAACCTTCTTTTTCCCTTTTCAGGGTCAACAGATTGTGTGTGTTATTCGACGGTCGGCATAAACGATGTGGAGACGTCGACCTTGCACATCATCCTGGGTAGGTCCCTTTTTCGGTGGCTGTGGCCAGAGGAGGCTCTGTGCACAGCAGTCAGCGTGTTAACCTTGCGGGAACTCATGGTGGCCCGGAGCTCACTGTCCTCACGCCCTCGACCCCACTGCCAGCAGGGGTCCGTGTCTGCCGCCTCCTGTCCCGCCCCATCTTCCCACGGCCATCAGAGGGATCCTTCAAAAACGTGACCCACTGCTCTGAACCCCCCACCCGGAGGCGGCGTCCCCGTGCGCTGGCCGGGCTGCCCCTCTGTCCCAGACACGTCCCTTGCTCTGCTCTCTGCTGTCGTCTCTGTCAGGGCTCCGCCCCGTCACCCTGTCAGGACAGCCTCCCCAGGCCAGAGTCCACGGCTGCCCACAGTGCTCCTTGTGCGTCCTGGCCGCTGTCTGTCCCTGCTCCTCTGGAATGCGCGTCCCGGGGCAGGAAGCCTGCTCCTTGTCTCGGGGTCGGAAAGGCAGGAGCGGCTGTGGATGCTGCTCCCCTCTGTCCGGGCGCCTGTGCGACAGACACGGGCTCCCTCTCCCGCGTCGTCCCTGCTGACGGTGCGACTCGTGTCGTACCCAAAGTCACAGAAATGTTATGATTTTGTATTTTAAAACGCCACGCACCTTTCCTTCATTGTCAAATCCACGTTCCTTTCGATGAGTGACCTTTAACAGCTTCGTGGATACACTCCTGTTCTGTCCCTACAGAACAGCTTTCCAAGCCCGTTTTGGAAATCTGAGTCAAATTGTGTCATTAGAATCAAGAACAGGAGACCCAGTGCCCCAGGAGAGCCGACCCCTGCCCGCCTCCTGCATGGTTCACGTTGTCATTGAGCGACCCTGGCCGGCTGGGGGCGGGGGCGAAGGGCAGGGTTCCACGGGCGCCTCTCTCGGCAGGGGACTCGCTGCCCCTGGACGTGTCCTCCGTGCACCACAACAGCACTCTGCTGCGCTACTTTGTGTCCCTGCTGGGCTACGGCTTCTACGGGGACATCATCAAGGACAGCGAGAAGAAGCGCTGGATGGGCCTCGCCAGGTACAACTTCTCAGGTAACTCAAGACAGTGCTCGGTGAGCCGTGTGTTTGCACACGCGTCCTCCGGTTTAAGCTGCACGGCGCCCGTGAGGGTGGAGACGCGTCCCTCGCGTCCCTCGCGTCCCTGTCGCTACCAAGTGGTGTGAGTCCACCAGGTTCCCGGGACGCCCCAAGGACACCGGGGTCCCTGTCAGGCCAGGCTGCTCTGACCCGTCACAGAGCCGGAACTCAGAGCAAACGGAAGCCGGGTCCAGATCCCACCAAGTGACAGTCCGCACGTTCAGCTAGTGGGCGACATCACCTGAATTTTCAGCTTTTAAGTGCCAAAAAGGAGTTTGAAAGGATGTAGAAGTTAAAGTTTGGCACTCTTGTCGCTCAGATGAATTCCTTGGCCATATTTAATGAATGTCATTTATCCGGTCACTGCCCTTTAGAGTTTGCTTTTGGGTAAATCTGTATTAAATTTAATTGAAAAATGTCAAATACTAAAATCTAAACCCTTTTCTTGAGAGAGAAAGGAATAGAAACTGGGTGAGCTCTATGTATTAAAAAAGACCTAATTAAATTAAAACTACATTCTGGCTTTAAGATTAAAATGTAAAACGTGGCAAAGTCATATATTTATTAAAACCTTAACTTAGAAAAGAAACAACAAGGAAATCAGGAAAGCCACAGGCATTTCAGTGACCTCCTGGTGCTGTTTCCCGATGACGCGTTGTGGAGCCTGCAGCTCCTCTCGCCAAGTCACCGCATCAAGGTCCCAGGGCCACTACACGCCCCGTCCCCACCGCAGCACATGGCCTGTGGCCAGTCACCCCCCCTGGACGAGAGCTCTGAGGCAGCGCTGTTTCTCGTCTTTGCATCCCCGTCCCCAGCCGGTGGCTGCCTCACGGTGAGGCGAGGTGGTGGGATCTGGGTTTCGTGGATGAGGAAACGCCTGGAGGCAGGAGGCGCTGTGGAGGCAGAGTGGAGAGAGATGTGAAGGAGACGTGGCCCTTTAGGGGCAAGCAGGACACGCACGTGGGCCCATCCAGGGACAGACAGGGACGGGGACACTGGAACCCAGGAGAGGCCGCCCTGGAGGTGGAGGCTGGGAGAGGGGACACCCAGTGGGAGTCTGGCTGTGCACCATCACTTCAGCGAGGAAGCGAGCTGGCAGGTGGACCCCTGGGGGAGGGAGCAGAGGAGAGGCCAGAGCCACCCACAGGGGAGGAGGGGCCAGAGCAGGGTGGACGCCAGGGGGCAACTGGGGAGCTGTTTCGCCACAGGGCAGATCATTACTAAGCGTATCCTGGTGCCAGCCACATGCCAGGCTCCCGCAGGGCAGGATGGGCAGGGCCAGGTCTGCGGGTGTGAGGACGGGCAGTGCCAACCTGCCGAGGCTGTGGGAGCGTGACCCCTGGGCAGGTGGCGTCCACCACTGGGCCGTGCACACTGGGCTGAAAGCTCGTCACCCTGCGGTGATGACACATAACAGGTGGGGCCTGGCCACCATGTTGGGGGAGGGAGGCCTCAGCGTCGGGGGTACAGGGGCCTCACCATAACACTACAAGTGACTGTGGCCAGCACCAGCCCAGCATCTGACACCAGGATTGGTGTCACTGTTAGACTCACAGGATACTGCATGGTCCCCACTGTGGCCCAGGGCCCCTCAGGCCCCACTCCCCCATGTCCTGCTGGGTGGGCTTCTCCAGACAGCTAGTCAGATTTATGCCAGGCACAGTGGGGCAGGGGCAAGGAAGTGGCTTTGTCTCTAGCTGTGGCAAGTAAGGGACAGCAGCACAGCGAGAGCACACCACAGTTTGCCAGAGGAGCTGGCATGGTCTCGTGGTGGCACTGCTGCCCTGGCCTCTGTCTGGAGTTCTTCCAGGAGGGCAAAGTTGCGGGGGATGCGGGGGCTTCACCGACAGTCTTGCCGGAGCAGAGAGATGGCCTTGGTGGGTCAGCCCTGAGGTGCACCTCCTTCAAAGTCCTGCAGGTGTCAGGGGCTTCAAGGCATCTGTCCCGCATTGACCCACGGGCAGAATCACGTCAGAACATGCAGACCATGTGCGTGAGGCCATGAGGGGTCACTGGTGGCAGAGACGTCCACTTTGCCAGCGTGGAAAGCAGCCTGGTGACCAGGCGCCCATATGGCCAGATCCCTTCCTGCTCTGATCACGTGGGGTCTCAGAGGCGCTGGCGGGGGGCGGGGACCCTGCAGCTCCCCTCAGTGGCACCAGGAATGTGGCTCGTGTGGGCCCGTGCCTGCGTCTTCTGCAGATGCTCGGGGTCTCGAGGCGTCCTAGGGATCTGCTCTCGCAGAGGCTTCGGAGGCTGGTAAGCACGTGTCATAACCACGACGTGATGCTGGCGGTGCTTTCTCTCCACGGCGCTCTGTCCTCAGGGCTGAAGACCTTCCTGTCGCATCACTGCTACGAAGGAACGGTGTCCTTCCTCCCGGCCCAGCACACAGTGGGATCTCCACGGGACGTGAAGCCATGCCGGGCAGGGTAAGCGCCCCCTCCCTCGTTTGTGTCTGTGGTGATCACGTGATGTGAGCAGGGCTGTCTGCGTTTGGCTCCTGTTGTGAAGGTGGATGCACAAATGCAGATGGGGGACACTGGATACACGCTGCCTGGCGGGGACGGAGGTTAGGTAGGGCTTCCGGGGTCACACACACCCTGGGGAGAGGGTGTCTTGCCACACCCTTGCTGTGACAGGCCCCTGTGCCGCAGATGGGACCCGAGGGGAGGCCTTGTGTTGGGCCGAGTCCCCATCGTCCGCTCAAGGGAGGGCTCTCATCAACTGGTCTGCTCCCGCGAGGGGCTCCCCTGCCCCCTTTTGGGGGTCTGCTGGGTGAAAACGCATGCAAACAACGATGAGAGACAGCCATCACACTGACAGCTGTGTGCCGGCCCCCGCGGGGGCCACAGGCCGAGCTAGCCTGCACGGACATGTGTTTTCAGCAGGAGAGGTGCGTGGAGCCTCCCATCTGCACTTCTGTTTTTGCTCACGCTCCAAGGTGGGCACCACCCAGCAGTTACGAAGGGGGAGCCAGTCCCCCGTCCCCTGCGGGGAGGGCACGGACAGCCAGCAGGCGCCAAGAGGAGGAGCCGACCCCCAGGAGAGGCGAGGTTGAGAGTCAGCGACAGCTGAGAGGGCTGGCGGCCTCCCCCTGGAGTCCGGGCGCTAGTCTGGCATCACTGTCCCTGTGACTGTGGATGCGCGATGACAAGCGGCAGCTCCTTCCTGCCTGACGCCCCCCGTTCCTCCCGTAGCACGTGACCAGATTAAAGCAGAACCTGAAAGAGTCTTAAAATTGGGCAGGCTGCGGCCCGATAGTGACAGCGGAGCATGGGTCCACCATCTTGTCCCTGCTTTTCCTTCCCGGTCCCTTCCTCCTTAAGGGGAAGAGTTTGAGGCCATAAAATCAGATAGTTAGAGGCAGACAGCATTTTATTCATTGCATCGCTGACTCGGTGTGGATGAGCCCATCTCACCAGCATGAACACTCGGCCTGTTCAACAGCGTGAGTCCAGAGCTGCCCACGATGCAAATTCCTTCTAGACTAACGGCTAAGTTCTGAGTGAACTGTTCTGAGTTATTTACTTGCCTGTTATTGGCTGGCACAGAGAACCGGCGTAGTAGCTGTTACCTGAAAGGGAAGGAAGTCTGAGCCCAGGAACCCCGGGGGAGTCGTCCCTTCCTTGCTGTGTGTGGGCCAGGGCTGCGCCCGCACCCGGGCCAAGCAGGGCCGGCTCTCAGCGCGCCGTCACAACGGCCTCAGAGGGCGCTTTGTACTTACTATGTTTCCAAATTTTAGAGGACATGTTGACGTGTAAGTTTTAAAAGTATATCTAATTTTGAGAATTCAAATTAATATGCAAGAGAAATATTTTTAGTTAAGCCTTTGAAATGGAACTTTCTGTTGTATGATAAGAACTGAAATACTTCTATAAATATGTGCTGAGCATGTGCTTTTCGTTGTAAAATGTCCACATTAAAGGAAGCCGGGGCCGTTCTGTCCTCAGGTGCTCCGTCTGCAGGCAGAGCAAGCAGCAGCTGGAGGAGGAGCAGAAGCGGTCCTTGTACGGTCTGGAGAACACTGGTAAGGTCTCAGAGACGCTCCCCACCGAGATGTGTGAGGTTCCAGTTCTGGAATCGGGCAGCAGGTGCCCGTCCCCAGCCGTCTTTCCGGCTCTGTGCTGCCCTGCGCGTGCTTGCGTCTTCTCTTTAGCTCCAGGCACCAACAAGTGGTTGCCGTGGGCCAGGCTCTGGGGAAGAGTAGATTGCGTAGAAGCACCCATGTGTGCCGTCTTCTCTGGACAGCCGCCTGGTGCCAGCCAGGCTCCTCTCCTCTAGAATGCTCTAGAATGGGGGTCGGCACGTGTTTCTGTTAAGGGTTTATAGTAAAGCCTTCAGGCTTTGCCAGCCACTCGGAAAGGAGTGGGCCCGTCTGTGTTCCCAAAACTTTATTTATGGGCACTGAAATTTGAGTTTCAGGTAATTTTTTTCTTTTTCTTTTTAGCAACAGTTTGTTCTTTTTTATTTCTGTATGGTTCTCAATTGTCTGAATAGATCAAAATTGATTTTTCATGCTAGTGCTGATGGAGATTTAGGTTGTTTTCAGTTTTGGGTGATTTCAGATAGAGGTTCTGTAGATGTTCTTGTCTGTCTGTCTCTCTTTTTTTTTCTTGAGGAAGATTTCATCCTGAGCTAATGTCTGTACCCATGTTCCTCTATTTTGTATGTGGGACCCCGCCACAGCATGGCTTGATGAGCGATATGTAGGTCTGCACCCGGGATCTGAACCCACAGATCCCCGGCCACCAAAGAGGAGTGTGTGATTAACCACTAGGCCACAGGGCCAGCCAGCCCAGATAATTTTCATATGTCACAAAATATTATTTTTCTTTTGATTTATTTCAACCATTTAAAAATGTGAAAATCATTCTTAGTTGACAGGCCACATAAAATCAGATGGCCAGATCTGGTGAGTTCTGTTCTAAGTTGTTGTCCAAAAGTCCCGAGGTGAGGACCAGGGAGGTGGCTCTGCCTTTTGGGAGGTGACCCTCTCGGCAGAGCAGTCAGCACGATTTTCTTTGTGTGAGTGATAGGGAGTCGAGAGCACAGAGAATTCGGAGGGACAGTCCGGCCCCTTGTCATCTCAGGACGCCCCGCCTGCCTGTCCGCGCCCCCATATTTAGTGCCACGTCCGCAATGCTTCTTTCTGCTTCAGAGGAGGTGGAGGAGTGGAAGGTCATCTGCGGGAAGTTCCTGGCCATCAACAATGCGAACATGTCCTGCGCTTGTCACCGGAGCCACAGAGGCCTCTCCCCTGCTGCACACTTGGGAGACGGGGCTTCCGACCTCATCCTCATCCGGAAATGCTCCAGGTTCAACTTTCTGAGGTTTCTCGTCAGGCACACCAACCATCACGACCAGGTGGGTGGAACGCCCTTCCTCAGGGTGTGTGTCAGCGAGCGGGTCCTGTCCGGGCTACCCTGATCTATGGATTGTAGGATTCCGTTACTGAAGCCAACAGAAAGAAGGACAGGCGTTTCTCTTTGCCTTTCGCCCATTTTAAGCTTAGTCACAGTTACTCCTTGTAGAAGCTCATTTAAAAATATAAAATCTTTGAGCACAGAAACTAGGAGGCGTGAGTGTTTTCATATATCTTCCTGTCGTTTCTCTTCATGTTTAAAGACAGGACAAAGAGACCCGGTGAGATGTTATGTTGCCTTCGAAGGTCGCTCACAATAAAATGTTCAGTCTCCAAGAAAGGGGCTCCAGTCAGACCCTTCCAGCAGCCCTTTGTGTCGTCCTGGCTTCCTCATGGTTAACACAAGGGGAGACCCGGGAGTCTAACGATATCGAGAGAACTGGAACTGTGGTCAGTCTCTGACTGCAGTCAGTTGTTCTTTTTAAAGTTAAATTGCATTTAAGATCTAGTCCAATAGTGTCTTACGCAGCTCTTTAAATAGTGCTCGTTAGAAAGGTAATAAAGAATTCCACAGGTCGCTGTCAGGGGCTCCCGGACGTCTCGGGTCCTCGGCGCGGATGCGAGGGGTTTCCAGGTGCGGAGCGTGGGAGAGCGCCTGGGAAGGCAGGTGTCCGGTTTCTCTCCTCTGCTTGTGCTCAGTGAGCTGGGAAGAGCAGCTCCAGGCACTGCCCCGTGGCCACGTCCTCGAGGACTCGAGGGTGCCGGGGGGGAGAGGATTGCTGACCCGCGCCGCAGACACACGGGCTGTCCCCTCCCCACACTCGTAGCGCATGATTGCCCCTTTCCCCGTCTCTTGGCAGTTTGACTTCACTTTTGTTGAAGTTTATCGAGTCAAGAAATTCCAGTTTACGTCGAGGCACGTGGAGGATGAGGACCGCAACCTCAAGGAGAGGGGCAAGAAGCGGTTTGGGCAGATCTGCAGCGACCACCCGCTGTGCTGTTGCACCGTGTCCAACAGTTCCTGGAACTGTGACGGGGAGATTCTGAACAGTCCTGCCATCGAGGTCAGGTGAGCGAGGGGCCCTCTGGTCATAGCATCCTAGAGTGTGCCTCAGCGGACAGGTGCCACCAGGTGCTCCCAGGGGCTCTGAGCATCTTACAACTTATACCCTAAACTGTCAGCATGTGTTGCAAATGCCCAATGAGATGCCATCATCATAATTTTGGAGAGATGCAAGGGTGTTGATAATTTCCACAGGTTTTAGAAGCCCCTCGATTTTATTATTTTTCTCTTCCATGCCTTGCACCCCTAGCACTGGCATGGGTCTTTTGCCCTGGCATTCTCTCTCTCTTTTCCTAACTAACTGAACAAACAAACCTGCCTTCATGGGTGCTTTCTAAGTCCTGGGGTCACTGAATCCACCAGGAGGCGTTCCGGCCTCAGGAGCCCAGCCCGCTGCCCAGGCCTTCGGCCTCGGTGCTGGTGCCCAGTGCAGGACGGCGCCGCCCGCCCCTCCAGCTGGTGGACTATGAGAAGTGGGTCCCCCCCATACCTGTTGGGGCCCATTGTATTTGGGATTAGAAGTCTGTAATCTAATTAAATGTGACATAACCAGATGAAATATGAGTGCAAAAAACGTTTTTTTCCCCATGGAAAGACACAGTAAAAGAAGTTCTTTTTTAAAAAGGTATTAAATGAAGTGTGGGTGCAAAAATTATCTGAGATTAGGGGAGAACTGTAAAGTTCTGGAAGGATCTGTAGTGTCTGCGAATGTCATTAAGATCTTGGTCTGCTTTAAGGAAACCAAACTGACACTCACTGATGATAAGAGTGTGGAGGACGTGAGGCCCCCAATCCCGCTGCGTGGAAAGATGGGTGACAGGTGCTCCCTTCGGTGTTTCAAGTCACAGCGCTTAAGATAACGTGAACGTCACTGTTTATAATTCCCCACTGTAAGTGACTTCTCCACCAACCGGCTCTGCCATCAGCATCCGAACAGAGCTGGGGAGAGGGCAGTCCTCAGACCTCCGAGTCCCACGTCCACATGCGCCTGTGCTTGCTGCCAGGATGTGGTCAGTGTGGCAGCGACTGCCCAGCTCACGTCCACAAATGTCACAGGAAGACCCGTCGAGCCGGTCTCACACACAGGGATTTCGCTTCTGTAGACTCATTGTGCAAGTTAAGGAAATGGAATTTTTTTGAAGAAGAAGATTAGCCCTGAGCTAAGATCCGCTGCCAATCCTCCTCTTTTTGCTGAGGAAAGTTAACTCTGAGCTAACATCCGTGCCCACCCTGCTCTATTTTATACATGGGACGCCTGCCACAGCATGGCTTGACAAGCGATACGTAGGTCTGCACCTGGGATCCGAACTGGTGAACCCCGGGCTGCTGAAGTGGAGCATGCAAACTTAACCGCTGTGCCACTGGGCCGGCCCCAGAAATGGAATTATTTTTAATGCTGACTTAGGAATTTGCTAAAGAAATAGGATACACTGAAAATTAGGAAAGGGCGTTCTTTTGTGAAATATATCCTACGTATCTTCATAAACGTTACCATGCCTTGAACAGCAAGTCACTTAATTCTGGGGGTTTTGTTACTAAACATCTCTGAGGGGCTGTGGGGTCATCCATAAATTGAGTAGGTGGCAATGCCAGGGCCCCCAGCGCCCACGCTGACCAGGGAGCTTCTCTGATTTACGTCCTGGGGCTTGTTGTGGACGGCGGGGACCTCCAGGGAGCCTCGGCCTGCTCCTCAGACCCGCGGGCCCTGGCTGGGGTGGGGCCCTCTTGTCTCCTATGACTGGACATATCCCGCACACCTTCTATGCACGGGGTTCCCTGCATGGAGTCCTCCCGGTGGCCCTGTGAGCTCGATACTGATGGGGAGCCCGAGGTAGGGGGAGTGGAGACCTGTGGCCCTGTCACCCTGCCAACAAGTAGGGTGCTGGAGTTGGAACCGGGTGTGCTGATCCCCAGATTTCCGCTTGGCTGTCAGCTGCCCTTTACAAAATAGGTCTCAGGACGGTGAGTAAATCCCTCTGCGCCCCTGACCTGCCATTGCAGGGCTGGCTGTCCCCGAAGGCAGCCACGCCGAGACCCACTGTCGTGGTGAAGGAGGCCCCACCTCCGCCCTTGCCCAGCTGTGGGGCCGAGAGTCAGGGGACACACGGGGTTTAAACGTGCCCCTTTGTCTCTGCAGGGTCCACTGCCAGCTCGTTCGGCTGTTTGCACGAGGAATTGAAGAGAATCCTCAGCCAGAACCACACAGCTGAGACCCGTGGTGCATCGCCCGCCTTCCTGCCGCGTCTGGGAAGTGTGACGATTATTTAAGAAGATTACTGCAGACCAATTATGTCGATATACACATTTAAATTCAGAATTTTACTTTTGATAGTTCAATCTTGATTTTAGAAAAAATACCTTTTGTCAACAATTTTGTGGACTTATTTGGCATTTTCTGTTCTATGTGAATCTTTGGGTTACGTTTCCTAGAACTTATTCTCAGCAAATGGCACTCGTTGATTGGGCCGCTGGTGTCTTCGAGTGTGACAGTGCTGACAGCGCAGATTACAGCTGCCCGTAGTGGCCTCATGCAGTGATTCCAGGGGCAACACGAGTGCTCTCCATCGAGGTCATGCCCTCTGGACGTGAGGGACCTACCGGTTTCTCTGATCTGCTCTGCAAGACATTCCGTGGTAGTTCCTGAGCCAGTTTTGGAAAGTGCTGGTTCTCTCTGCCTTCCTTTTCCCTGCGTCTGACTGATGGTTAGGACGTGATCACGGGCTCCCGTCTGTCCTGCTTCAAGCAACACTTCCGGAGTGGACCATTCAGTGAGAACTAATTACTAAAAGAAACAACACTATACCTTTGAAAGCTCACTTCTTGCTTTCATCGTAGCAGCATTTCTAAGACAATCCAGTCAGGAGCGAAGACAGGCCCCGCGCTCTGGGAACAGGCAGCTGGCAGCGCCCGGCCGGTGTCTTACTGTTTTGAATTGAGAATACCGATGCTTTCCATCGACACCCAGGGGACAGCAGGGCTGGGTGCCAGGCGGGAGCGAAGGAGACGGGCTTGTGTTGACTTCAAGCCAGTGCGGCCCCAGGGACAGGGTGCACCCAGGACCCAGGGTTGCTCTCGTGGTCCTGAGGCTGCACACATGGTCCAGATGTGTTCTTTTCTTGTCTTCACCCTTATTTCTAAATATTTATTGACCGTTTTGTCCTTTTCAGCCAGAACAGTAGAAACGGCGTCTCCAGCTGTGTTCGGTTTGCTTGCTGCTACAGCCGCAGCGCCGGGGATCCCTGGGTGTGTGCCCGTCCCAGATGCCCCCGTCTGTGTCCCCAACCTGTGCTGCGGCCTCATGTTCTTCGCGTCCGCGCGTAGGTACAGGGAAGCTGTGTCTAGAGTAGCTTTATCTGAAGTACGAGAAGACGAGCTCACGTTACGAGACGACTCATGCTCTCGTCTGTGCTTTTGGAGTGGATTTCACTGCACGTGGGTTCAAGTAGTCACTGTGGCACTCCACGGCCATCATGTGTTTTCAGAATGCACCTGCAGCGACTTATATTTGAAGTATGTGTCCAACTTCCCATTTCATCATTCAGTGCCACCCAGGTGAGGCAAAAGGGCAGCTTTAACAGTGGTCTTTTAAATAGATCACGTTATTATGGTAATTGGGCGAGGCGAATGGTTTACTAATCGGTGGGTGGATGGAAAGTCTGGCCATAAAGAAGGAAATGCACGCTGGCCATGTCTGCTCTTAGTATTTGCTCCTGGTTGGGAAGGGACCAAAGACGCGCAAGTGGCCACTCTGCACAGGGCAGGCGCCACGCCCTCGGGGCTGGGGGCTCCCCGAGGCACCCCAGAGGGTCTCCCCGCAGGACTCCCTGCGGCCCCGATGCCATTCTGCGGAGCTGAGCTACTGCACAAGGTTTCCTCAAAAGATCCTTCAGTCTTTGTCGCCCCTGGTGAGTGTCTCCAGCACACTGGTCTGCCCTAGAATCCACTGCCAATTTTAGAAAAACAGTGCAGGCCAGAGTAAGCGTTTTACTTTGAAGGAGAAACCCAGCCACGCCACATGGTTCCCGGGCGGCTCTGAGGATGTTTACCGACCACATGCTGGCATTCAACATTGCAAACCCTGGGCCTGTTCTTGGGGGAGCGTGTGCCTGTCTGAACTCCCTGAGATCTGCACACAGGACAGAAGCCCCTTCCAGACATCCGCACTCCAGAAGTTCTGATCTCCACCAAGACTCCAGGTGGAGCAGCCGCGACACCTGAACTTCAGGGTTTAAGAAACACATCAGAACTGACGGCTAGGTAGTGACAACTTAGCATCCTCTAGAAGGGTTAGTCTGTTCTAACTTCCGTGTGGCTCAGGGGTGCAACAGAAGGAGGCAGCAGTCCTGTTTGACCCTGCTCCTGCGTCTTGTACTCGCAGCGGGAGGAGGACGCCGCGGGCCCTCCCGAGCCTCGTGGGACTGGGAAATAGGCTGGAAAAGGTGGCTTAATTCCCGCTCTAGTCTTGCTGGTTTCAAGATTAGAAGATGGTATATTGGCTCTGATATGTTTGAGAAGATAAAAATAAAGTTACTTTGGGCAGAATTTGGCTTTTTTTCTCTTACAAATTCCTATTATTTTCAAAGCAGAGTATTTCCTGAGAAAACACATACACATACGTACAATAAAAAAACAAGAATGAAATGGACCATGGCATTACCTCCCACCCATGCCAAGAAACTCAGCTCCGCCCCAAGGCGCCCTGTGCACCCCGCGGGCTGACCCTCCCCCGCCTCCTCCACAGAGGTAAGCATGGGTCTCACCTCCGTGTGGGAGCGGATCCGAATGTGCTACCCCAAAGATGCCCCTTTGACATAAGGATTGTTTGGAGCTGAAGACAATTAAGCAGCAGCAAACACAGCAAGAGCTCCCTGCCCTCCCGCATCTGCCAGAGAGCAGGACGGGAATTTCCCTCTGAAGGTGCCCTCTCATCTCCCGCACCACGAGGAGCCACGTGATCACCGGGGACAGAACGTCAGCACGGGGATGCGGCTGCACAAACCACCCTTCTCTCAGCTCCCCCAGATAAGATCCCCCCATGAATTAGTGTTCCCTAGGAGCCCAATCCCCTTTCCCTTCGTCTTCTCACTTCTCAACAAATTAATTGCCCTTTATTAAAATGGTATATAAGCCCCGGGTCTCACCACCTCTTTTCTACAATACCTCCATGCACATAAAATAAAATATTAGCATTAAATAAAAACTGTGTGCCATTTCTCCTCTTAATTTGCCTTTTGTTAGTTTAATTTGCAGGCCCCAGCTACTGAACCAAAGAGGGTAGAAGAAAGGTTTTTTCTTCCCCTACACACGTTCACATTCTGAGACAGTCTACTGTCGAGTTTTGCAGGTTTTGCTCTTTATATAACAGGAACCACACTGTGTTGTTTTCTGTAACTTCTTTCATTCTGCATGTTTTGAGAAGACATTTTCATCATGAAACTGAATTTTCTGATGAATATTGCATATATTTCCATTTGTATAAGTCCTCATTCATGTCTTTCAATAGTTTTATAATTTTTCCTTAATCTTTCTCAATTTTGTTTAGATTTATTAAAACTTCCTATTTTGAAGCTTTTTTTTGTTTTTATTAGAAATGCAGTTGTTTTTATGTATCAGATTGTGTCCAGAAAACTTGCTTATTAAAATAATTTATCTGTAGATTTGGGAGGTTTTCTATAATGATCACATCGTCTACAAATAATATTTGAGCATCTTCCTTTACAATCTTAATAACTTGGTTCTCTCCGTTTCTGCACCAGCCATGACTTCCAGTATGGACTGGAATAGAAATGACAGTCCCGGCTCCAGCCCCCCACCCTGCCGCCCCCTGGGGTCCTGGGCCTGCAGGATGCTAACCTCTGACGGGGGAGGCACCAGGGCCCTAGAGGAGGAAGTGGCTGGGCTTCCTGGTTCCGTGTGTTTGGGGGCAGATGTCAGCGTGCTGGGTGGGGTCTTCCAGATCCTTCCACAGGCAGTGGCTGCTCCCTGGGACTCCTGTGTTCTTCAGAGTCATCTTACCCCTTAGCAGCCAGCCCCTGTGATGGCGGACAGATAACTTTGGGGTCAGCTTTGCCTGTGGGTACTGGGGATGCACAGAATCAATCGGGACCCTTGGTTCGTAACATACCCCCTTTTGGTCCCGACTTCTTATCTGTTTTATTTACTCATACATTCATAAAATTCATTCACTAAATGTGATGTTACAAACAGTAAGTACTCATGAGAGAACCCCGATTCAAGAACAAAAGCTTGATTAGTTATTTCATTTCCCTCTGACTTCCTGTTCCCCACACTCTCCCTTCCCCGGGTGGCCAGAGTGATGGCTTCTGCTGGAAGCCCTACAGGGGCTCCGTCTCCCCAGGAATAAGGGCCCAAGTAGTGCAGGGCACCAACGCGCCTTCTCTGTCCCTGGACCCCCCAGGTCAAGCCAAGAGACACCCTCTGAGAGCAGAGCTGTAAAATGCACAAATTAAAACAGGCCTGCAGAGGAACCAAATAGTTTTTAAAACAGTGCTCAGGCATACGCGTGCTTCATTAATACGTTAAATGGTGAAATATACGGAAAATAGGCAAACCGGGCACCCCATCCGTGAGGCTGGGGGGGCCTGCGCCACCCACACCCTGGGCTCTGGGGCCCTCCTCCCCTCCTCGCCCCGCAGTGTGTGGAGGGTCTGTGTCCACTGCGGATGAGAGGTCGAGTGGAGGGACCGATGTCATGCTGGCCCTGTGGGACTGTCTCACGGACCATCGGGAAGAGCGAGAGGGGGGCGTGCTGCAAAGGGGCAGAGGGGGGAGTGGGAGCTGCGGGGATGGCGCCCAGAAAGTCTATTTAGGCTAGATAATCACAGCCTGGGTGACAGGAGAGTCACCGGGCAGGGTGTGGCACTCCCAAGGATGCTGTGTGCCAGGCCCTCCAGAGACTTGTTCCGTCACTGCTGTGTCCCAGCCCCTAGGACAGCGCCCGGCACGGATGGACGGTGGGAGGGATGGGTGGATGGACGGATGGATGGATGATAGATGGACAAACAGACGGATGACAGACAGACAGACAACAGATGGCCCCCACCTTAGCACAAAGCATTTCAGGTTTATTTAAATAAAAATTATAATTTATACAAGACTTTTTCTTTAAACAAACAAGGTTTCCTTAAAAAAATGTTACAGGGGGATTTTTTTTCATCAGTTCTTCATACAGTACAATCCTTTTGTTGAACAAAAGTTACACTGGTAATGATTATTTACAGATCCAAAATAGACTCAGGCTTCAGACATAAAAAATTTAACATTCATTCTAGTTCAGAGATCAGTCGTAGAAATTAAATATCTGCCCAGATTTACACAATTCAATAAAAACTATGGGTTTTCTCCGACGGGGAGCCCAGCGCCTGCACAGGTCCACGCTCTTCCAGGCAGAGGCCCCCGGGCTTCCAGGAGGGACCTGCCACTGGCCTGCTGTGCAACGCGGGCTGCTGGCCCATCCTTGGCCCCCGCCTCCCTCAGGCCCTCCCTGGGCGGGAGCTAGGCACCTGCTCCCGGCATGTGGCCAGTTTTCATCTCCCTTTCTCCTCAAAAGGGACTCGAACTAAACCACCCCGCTCTGTTAAAGGGAGTCCCAGTCCTCGGCAGGGACCCCCCCACCCCACCGTGCTTGGGACACAAGCCCACTGTGCTCACCAATAGGCCGACGCTGAGGGGCGACCAGGGGACAGGGGTGTGAGCAGCACCCACAGGCGTCACCCCCACAGCCCGGCCCTGGGGGCAGTTCAGGGCCCACCCTGCCTTGCCTTGGGCACCAATGGGGGGTTCCTGCTGGGGGGTGTCCCCAGGGTGTACCCGAGGCCTCTCTCTGGCCCAGGAGAGCCGGTCCACCTCTGCCTTCATTTATGAAAGGTCGACCTGCAGAGTCATATGCCACCAAGGCCAGCGTGACCACGAGCCGGGCGGGTTGGATGTCACCGACCGGGTGGGCTGTGTGCTTAATCTGGCTGGTCGGCACGGCTCCCCTGCAGTGCTCCCAGGCCCCAGCGTGTGGCCCTGCCGCCCCGCCCTGAAGGGGCGACAAAAGCAACGACACTGGATCTCTCACCCAAACCAGCGAATCAGGATCGGAGCAAAGGTAAAAATTACATCTGAAAAATGATACAAAAATAAGAAAAACAGCTTGCTCTCTGTAAAAAATATAATCTTCTGTTTCTTCAAAAAACAACAATCTCAGTGACACCCAAAGGACTCAGGACAAGCTGAGAACTGGAGTAACCTGCGGTGGAAAGCGTGCTGACCAGAGGGCGGCCCCAGTGACCCGCCACGATCTCACTGCGCATCCTTCAGGAGGCTGTGGGCCTGTCCTGACGCCGCGCTGGCCTTCAGGGGTGTCCTAGGATGGATACCCCCCGGCCTCCCTGACGGGAGCTTCGACCTCCTGGGCGAGTGGGGCCCAGACTAACGCCTGGCGCCAGGGAAGGCGCTGGCTCGCTCCACCCCGTGGAGTGCTGGCACAGGTGTGCGCTGGCAGGGAGCACGGCCAGACGTCACGGGGGCACACTGCCTGGCTCCAAACCTCTGTGCTCTGCTCACGGTCACGGTCACGGTCACGCCCCCACACCAGTGACCTCCCAAGCGTCCTCGCACAGCCCACATGGGCAGGCCATCCATAAGCCTGGGCCACTGTGGGCCTGGGACGCTCCTGCCTGCTCCCTCCCCCAACACCACGTGGCTGTGGCCGGGAGGCCAGCGCCAGCCCCAGTCCCACTACGGTGGATTTTCATCTGAGAGCAACAGAATCTCACAGGGCCCCAAAAGCCTCGGTAGGTGTTCCGGGCCTTTCCAAAGAGCGAAGTGCTAAAAAGATGTGCTTTCACCTACACGCCCTCTGTATCATTAGTTGCCAATTACAGACCTCCTGGCCAGCCTGTCAGGTTGAGCTGGCAGGTGGTGGGACCCCTCCCTGCCAGCCCTGAGGCATGAGGGGCCCCTCCCAGCCAGCCCCCGATGCCCCCACAAAGGCCAAACACAGAGCACAGGCCATAAGGTGCTCCGAGGACGCGCAGCAGGGGGTCTCACTCAAGGAACAAGCAAGAGCGACAGACCCGGTTATGGTGGCTGGTGAAGCGGCCTCCGTGTCACTTGTCACCGATGTCCTTCACACCAGGAGGAGGCACCACAAATGCTCCTCAACTATGGCTTTGGTGTGAAAGAGCTTCTGGCCTCCAGGAGCCGGGCTGCACAGCCGGTGTCGGGCCCCTCTGTCCAGGTGGGGACAAAGAAGGAGCAGCTGGGCAGGGTGGCGGCTGGGGCACTGCGTCTCCTGCGTGTCGTCCTTTCCAGTGGCCTCCAAGGTGTCCACAGGTGTCCACAGATGTCCACGAGACGTGCCTCCGCAGCTGGGCGGGCTGACACTGTCCCCGAGAGCCCCAACCCCTACGTGAAGGGGTCTGTAAAACGCAGGGTCAACACAACAGAAACCACAGACCGAGGGCAATTATTGCAAAAGATCATGAGGATGTCCCATTTTTTTCCCACTACCAAACTGTTAAAAAAGAAAAGAAACTTCCAGCAAGGTCCCGGAGAGTCGCCACTAGCTGTCACTGCCAGACGCTGCGGCTGCTGTGATTTTCGTGTACTGGCTGAGAATGGTCTCAAAGGCCTCGTCTCTGTGCGCCATGGCACCAAACACCAGCGGCTGGTGGGAGGAAATGCTGCCCGTGAACCCACGTGGCCAGGCTGGCTCGAGGACAAGACCACCCAGGCTCTGATGGGCCCCCAGCCAGGTCCACGTGGAGCCACGCAGGGCCTGGGTGCACAGGGCAGACCCCCTCCCACCCAGAGGCTGGGCTTCCGAGAAACCGAGGCAAGAGGCAGGCAACTGGGCTCCCAGCCCCACCCCCCCTCCCTGAGTAACTCTGCGGGGTGGCCCCATGGCGTCGGCCTCCCAGGTGCATACCCAATACAGCAGTGGGTTCCTGCTGCCACGGGGGGACCTCCACCCACCTGAACCCCTGCCAGTCTGCGGCTCTGAGCTCACCCCAGGATGCCCAGAGCCCCAGTCCTGGTCCCACCCCACCATCTCCCTGGCTACCCGCCTGCCCGGGACTTACTTTCTGGGTTGAGGGGGTCGACACAGCAATCCCCATGCCCGTCCCGGGGAGGACAGAGAGGACCTTGTACTGAAAGACAACAGCACACCTGTCACCACAGGCCTCCCTGGGGACAGGACTGTGCCACCCTCCCCACACCTCAGGGCGTTCTCCTCCGTGGAGCCCACAGACAGCAAGACCCAAGGGGGTCGCAGGATGTTCCAGCCACAAGGGGACAGGACTGACTTTGTCAGTGAGAAACCAGACCTGCGATCACGCCATCCCACCCTGGCCCGGCCAGCCCATGGGAAGCTTGGGGTCTCCCCAAGGAGCACCATATGGGAGGGGGTGAGGCGGGGCAGGCCAGGAGGACCCTGCCCCCTCACTCCTGATCCCACCAACCACACATTCTCCCCTCCGAAGGGGGATCCCTAACATCTGTGCGGTGCTCCTGACACGCCAACATAGGGAGGGGGAACTGCCAAGCTAAGTGCTGG